TGGGTGGCGTTCAGCGGCCTCGGGGCGCTGCCCGCCGCGCTCCGCCCGCTGCTGTCCTGCCTGGCCGGGGGCGCCGGCGGCCTCCTGGCCCTGGGGTTGGATCACTTCTTCTACATCAGGGAAGCGCCTCGTCCTCCTCAGTTGTGCAGCGGCGCGGAAGACAAAGTGCCTGTGATCAGACCCCGGAGGAGGTCCAGCTGCGTGTCGCTGGGAGAAACCGCAGCCGGTTACTATGGCAGTGGCAAGATGTTCCGGAGACCGTCGCTGCCTTGCATTTCCAGGGAGCAGGTAGGTCAGCCCGAGAGCACCGCCGGGGAGGATGGAGCGCGGGCTGGTGGCTGCCCTCGCAGGCGGAGCCGGCGTGTCCGAAAGCGTGTTAGCTTCCAGCGCAAATCAAAAGGGGGAGCGGACAATGTTTTGTTGTGGAAAGGTTTCCCGAATGACAGGGAACTTTTCTGCAAACTCGGAAGCAAGTGCCTTGTATCTTTCAGTAGAAATGAAAAAGCCCACTAATCCTGTTGCATTTTTGAAAGAGTATTTTTATGTAGTGAGTGAGTTCTCAGAAGAATGAGGTGAATTATTTCTGGTTTAGTAGGGTTGACTACTCCCACTTTTTTTTTTTTTTCCTTTTTTTGTCTTTTTGAGACAGGGTCTCACTATCAGTTCAGGCTGGCCTCGAGCTTGCTTTGTAGCCCAAGCTGGTCTCGAACTCACAATGATCCTCCTGCCTCAGCCTCCCAAGTGCTGGGATTACAGGCATGAGCCATCACCCCCGGTTTGACTACTCCCACTTTTGGAATATTGTAGTATGTATCCTTTTGGCGCCATTTATCTTTTGGCTGTTGTGTCTGTCTAAAGGAAATCTTACAGCCATTCGGATGAGGAAAAATATGTGGATTTTGAACAGTAAGGTTTCATTACTGTGATAGTTGAGCAGACCAATCAGAGATCTTAAAGGAACCAGCGGTGAGCTTTGGAATAGACTTAAATAAAGACAGCAGTGTACACTAATACAGTTTTTCAGACGAACTCATGGTCGTGTGTATTTGTTGCATAAGAGGAGAATGTTTTAACATTTTAACCTTTAAAGTAAGTAATGTTTGGACAGACGCCAAAAGCATTTCCATCTTTTTTCTCCTAGGCTTTCATATTTTTGTTTTTTTAAGAGAATTGAAATCATTAGTAGTGAAATTATATGTTTAGATAGCATTGGGGAAATCTGGTCTACATCACCAAGAAACTCAGTAAGTGTAGCTATTATTTATTGAGTACTGCTTTACATATATTCTCTCAAATCTTCATCCGTTAGGTGAGTTGACATTAGCATCAGTTTAGAAGTGACCGAACTGAGGCTTACAGAGAGGAACCAGTTTCACAGGTCCAAAAAGTGGCTGTGTTAGGATTTGACTGGATTTTCAGTTCTCAGTCACGTTCTGCACAATTTACAGGGGAGGTGTAGAGGTTTTTAAGTAGGAGTATGTGTCATTGGTTTGGTGTTATTAGACTTTATTGAGTAGTGATATCTTTTGCACTGGGACCCACTACACTGGAAAAAAAAATGTTCTTAGTACATCCGAGGCATTCATCTCTGTTCTGTTCCCTCTCTTGTGTCTCTGCAGTAATCTGTGGGCTGCTACTTTGACTTTATGGCATATTAAACACTGATCTGTAGTGTTGTATGAGGCAACACTTGGCTTCTCTGGATGGCTTTGGAGGCCATTATTGTGGTCTGTATGTGGCAAATGATTGAAAAAAATGCTTTTGTGCCTCCTGTTTTCTAGATTTGCTACCAGTGCTTGGAAAGATGTGTATCAGGAGAAAAATTGTTTTGAGAGGATTCACTATACAGCAAAGTAATATCAACTATTTTCATAGAATGGAATAACGTTTGACTTTTGACTATATAATGAATAGACTGCATTGTTCACACTGGAAAACTCTTTTAGAACACATTCATTGCATTTTTAGAGAAATCTTCTGAATTTAACAGTTTAACATATTTTTATTGTAATTTGTTGATTTAGTGACATCTGTTCTCTTGTAAACTGAAAACTTTAATTTTTAAAATCCTAATATGGTACTCTTTCCATCATATCAACCTTTATCAAGCTTTAGTTAGTTGCAGTGCCATGCCAGGTAGCTTCATTTATTATTTGTATTAGAGGATAATATAATTTGTGCTTCTAAAAATGCATATTTCTTTTTTAGTGCAGAAACCCTTATTCACATTCTACACTGTGTAGAAATATTGTCAGGGTCTTGAAATATATGCTAATAGTGCATACATAGTTACTTAATTTTTAATGTCACAAAATGATACTATTTTGACATCTTTAGAGGATGATATTTTTAACCTAGTAGAGATCATAATAGCAAGAATTTTTATTTATTCTCTGTAATAGAGTGTGTGTGTTCCATATGTATTATGTTAAAGAAATTAAGGGAAAATTTATGGAAGTAAAGATCGAGATTGTGTAATTTTTGAAGCTTTGTATGTAATTGTAAAAACACTTTATTTCAGAAAGTGAAAAAAGAAGAAAAGAACTTGGGTAGCACCTACCATAGGCAAATTTTCCTGGATATGTAGGGGAGGGGTTGAAGGTTAGGTCTTGGCTTTTTTGTTTAATATTGGAATGTCAGGGGTTCTTTCTGAGTCTCAGTATCTTGTCAAACCAGAGGATCCCAGTACATAAATTGTGTTGTACTTTCCAGTTCTAAAATTAATTTTAGTTACTTTATACTTTCATTAAGATATAGATGAGTGAGTATAAGTAGTCACAAATTAATATTCTTCAAATTTCACTTTAATATTGAATCTTGATATTATTAACCTACAATTTTAAAGGTGTCATAATTGGAAAAGATGAAGAAATATTCTGTATTTTTTGGAAAATACTGTCTTTTAAAAAGTATGTGTGGATTCATTAAAATTACTACTTTTGTTTCCTTAAGAAATTAAACATTTTTATTAACATCTTTGAAAATCACTTGAGAATACATATCAGTATAAATTTTTTTATTGTATCACAATGGATTTAATGTAATTTTAGGTTCCATAGTGATGAATAATGGAACATATTTATGAAACATTTGATTTAATAAGTTTATAGTACTTGATTTGAATACTATATACGTGTCAGTTCTTAAGTTCTTTTTTTTTGTTTTGCGATAGGGTCTTGCTATGTAACTCAGGTTGGCCTGGGACTCACTGTGTAGCCCAGGCTGGCCTCGAACCCACAGTGATCTTCCTGCCTCACCCTCCCGAGTGCTGGGTAGGATTATAGGCATGCGCCAGCACACCCAGGTTTAAATTCTTTTTTTCCCCTAATGAGATTTAGTGTGTAAATCTAGTTACTGCTGACTGTGTTTTACTTTGGTGGGTTCATAGAAAAAAAACAAAACACCAACTTTGTAATCTGTCTTTCAGGAGTCAGCTAAAACTAAGAGGAAGTTTAAAAAGTCAGTTGTGTACATAAAAGCTTTAACCAGAAATGAACAAGTTACATTTTTATGCCATTTTTTTATTTTATGAAAAAAAAAAAAAAAAACCCAAAATTTTGTAACAAAATGAGAGATAATAGTTGTTATTAATAACTATTGATAATAGTTACTACACGTGTAGCATTATCTCCAAAGTAGTTACTCAGAGTACAATACATAAAATGATTCTGTCTTACAAAGAAGAAACAGATAATAGTACAAAACTTTCTTTTCAACAAACTAAACAAAATTAGTATTATAAGTAAAACAAATTAACATGTATAACTGTATATTCTACAGTGTAGTTTTTGGCTATTCAACAAAATCATTTTGGGTGTGATTAGGTAAACATATGGTATTAAAAGGCTAAAGTTAGTGTGCAAGATATTTTTCTATATGTAAAATGTCAAGTGCTTTCATAGTTAGGTAAATATTTTAAAATTCTGTGGCCTTAATGCCCATAAATATTATTTAAAGTGTTAATTTTATTTGAAAAAGGTGTACATATGTGAAGACAAAAAACTTTTTTTAAAAAGTGTGATTTTTTTTATCTCCCGATTCAAGGCATACTCCACTGTGAATTTTTTAAATAACAATGTAACCTTTTTAAAATTTATTTTATGGCTTCAGTGGGTGTTTTAATTTCATGTTGATATTTTGTAGTAATGGCAGCCTACATAATAATGTTATGTTGTATTTTGTAAGTGTCATATATACTCTACCATCAAAATTATCTTTCTTTTTTTTTTCAAAATTATCTTTCAAAATACAGATTTAACCAAGTCACTTGCCCAGTTTTTAAAATGCCTCATGGCTTCTCATTGTCCACAAGATAAAGTTCATACCTTTGACCATTGCTTTCAAAGTCTTTCATAACCTGCCTTTTCTGTTTTGATTTTGAAAAAGCATTTTAGGATTTACGGATTTCTGCCTTCCTGAATCCATCCTTGATTCTGACTTTCTGGGTTCTGTTTATTGTTATTGAGCTTGTTTTTTATTTTGCTTCCATTATTTTTATTGGTTGAAATCACTTTAACTAACAAATAAGATTAAAAAGTCTTTAGCTAGTTAACTGATACTCAATGTACTGTATAAGCTGTGAACAAAACTCTTATAATAGAGTTAGCCATATTTAAGAATAAAAATTGAGAAATCACATGAAGCAATGGTGATATGTAATAGAATATTTTATTATATTACACAAGATAGTAACATTCTGTAATTTATTTTCTATACATTGAGTGAAAGGCAATCATAAGTAAAACTGAAGTTTGTTTTCATTGTTATCAGGCTCTTTGTTCCTCAGTAGTTGGCTCTTCTCTCATCCTCTTTCTCCTTACCCTTTTAATGATCAGGTCAGTCATTTTCCCTAGCACACTTTTTTTGCCCTTCTATACCCCATCTGAAGTAGGAAGAATCTACACTTTGCTGAAAAGCTTACTTTAATATGAATATTTATATAGAGGATAGAGGAGGATAGAGGATATTGGAGAGGATATTGGAGAGAGGATATTGGAGAGATTTACAGTTTAATGGAAATTTGCTTATTACATTGAGAAATTGAACTTCAGAGAAATAAAATATTGGCTCAGAGTTATACCGTGAATTACTGTGAATACAAGGCCAAAACATAGGTCTTGACTTCTGGTCCTCCTACTTTCTGTAAAGCACATATATACCTATAGTTACAGTTTTCCCAGTATCTTCAGTTACATAATAGAAGGTGGTCTCTTTGGATAAGTAGGTGTGGGGGGTGGGCATGAAGGAAAGAGGAGTGTTATGAGAGACTCTTGAAATCACATAGTTCA